ATAATCAAGCATTTTTCATTCTGTGCATTTTCAATGTTCATGTAAAGTTATCAAATCATAAATTTTCATTTTGTTCAATTCTAATCTAATGTTAAGTTATCAAGGCGTGGAAGTATTTAGGCGGGGAGAAGTGTCGTATATATGAGTGCACATAGATACAAATACTGAACGTAATGAAATACAACCCTAACGTAAGAAACAAGAGAATATGTAACTAGCTATAAGAATGAAGTATGAAAAGATATGAATAAAGAGCCAGTCTCGTAACAGCATTCGGAACCGTTGGTTATATCAGACTATTTACAAAACTGTACAAAACCACAAATGATATGATGATCGATGAGCAAATGGGAATTGTTTTGTACAGTTTATTTTCGTACCCTTGGTGTAAGTGAGGTGTATGTTCTTGCCGCCGTTGGCTGTGTGTGCTGCTGAGGTGATTGCCGCCCTGTGGTGGTGGTGGGGGGCGTCGCAATTGAAGTCTGCGACCGAGCAGCGCAACACGGGCCCTCGAAGTTCCCCGTCCAATCTCGCGTGGTACGCAGACCTGAACATGCCCTAAAGTGGCACCAGCCAAGGCAGGTGTTGCACTTGACTGATGTCACATTACGGAATATTCTGGTCTGACATACCGTGCAGATTGTAGGGGGAACCAGGAGTTGTTGGCGGCGGCGTGTGGGTGGTGGTGCGGTTGTGTGTGTTATGTGGTCTGTGGTGGCTGTGGTACGGTCTGTGGTGTTATTATGTTGTTGTGTTGTGGTGACTGTGTGTGGTTGCTGTGTGAGTGTGTGGGGCTGCACGGGCGGACTATGGTTTGCCGTGGAGGCTGCTCTGTTTGAGCAACAGGGGGCCACGTACGACGTGGTCCACTGTCTGTGTGTTCGTAGTCCCGAGCAGACCCTGAGGTGACTCCACCCCTCGCAGGCATTACACTTGACTGAGGTGGAGTTGTGGTGTAATCGTCTTCGGCATACACAACAGGTGTATATTTCTGGCCCAGGGTTTGACTCGATGCCAGCCCTGAGTAGGAGAATGCGTAGTGAATGTTGCCCTATGGACGGACAACTTCTGAGATACTTCGCCGACCTAAACAGGGTTAGATCGCCGAAACAACAGCCCTTGGTCGGGTAAAACCCGAGTCATTCCGGTACGTAGAACCGGCTGTTTATTGGGTATTCACTTTAGGTTTGTAGTGTTAAGGAGCATGCACTGATTTTTACAGATATGATTCATTCTTTTGCCAATTATACCGAGTTACATATGTACGTGTGTACGTGCTTATATTTTGCGATCTAACCACGAGTTATGTATTTAACAGGAATTAAAAAAAGAACACTCGCAAAAATGTTTACAAAACTTATTGGCATAAATGCACAATACTACCAAATCTCGAATTAAAAAAATTCATACGGAGATCGATAGAGATCACTGAGGTGAGTGTAACGATGTAATTTTTTTTTTTGGGAAACAACAACTACAACAATTATTAAAGGTCAAAGTTGAAATTAAGCATTTTCTCAAATTAATATTTCTCGAAAACCTCTTCAAGGAATTGGACAATTTTGATATCATTTGATAGAGAATTTAATTCTCTTTAATTTGTATACATATTTATTTAGCGCTTACGCAGAAAGGTGTTCTTTGCAAAAGGTGTTCTTTGCAAAAGGTGTTCAGCGCCTTTTCTTCACAACACAGAAAGAGAATTCTACTTTGTGAGGGTTATAATCCATAAGTGCGGCCGAAGGCCGCCTACGCAGAAAGGTGTTCTCTGCAAAAGGTGTTCAGCCCCCCTTCTTTGGCAACACAGAAAGGAGAATTCTACTGCCTGAGGGTTATAATCCCTAAGTGCGGCCGAAGGCCGCTTACGTAGAAAGGAATTCTACGCAAAAATACATTTGTTAAAAAGAACATTTTTTTTATAAAAACTTTTTTTTTCTATTTTTAATTAACTTTTTATTCTTTATTCAAAATCCCCCCATATCTAATTTGGCATAATTTCTTTTATTAAAAAATCCCACGGTTTCTGTTAGTTGGGTCATATTCCACTTCAAACTGCTCAGTTTGCCTAAGAAAAATCCGTTTTTCCCCCTTTTTCAAACGGTTCCCTAGGTGCCTGTGGGAGGAGTCCGAGGGAGGGGTTCCCCTTTTTAGAAAGCGGCGACTGTCTCCTTTCTATTGGGGGGTGTTTTGGTGAACCTTTTTTCCACATTAATTCCATTTTCGTGAAAACTATAAAAAGGTATATGTATAAATATGTATATCAAATTAAAGAGAATTAAATTCTCTATCAAATGACATCAAAATTGTCCAATTCCTTGAAGAGGTTTTCGAGAAATATTAATTTGAGAAAATGCTTAATTTGAACTTTGACCTTTAATAATTGTTGTAGTTGTTGTTTCCCAAAAAAAATAAATATAAAGTTATGTTCACCTCAATGGTCTCTATCGATCCTATTTCTTTTTTTTTTTTTTAATTCGAGATTTGGTAGTATTGTGCATTTGTTCCGTAGAATTGATGCTTACGCATTTGCCGACTTAACAAAGAGGCGTAAACTATTTCACAAAAATACACGTAGTTTTTTATTTATTCCTTGGAGCGTCGTATGAAGTTTTTATAGTTAACATTTTCAAATATCTATAACCGTGGTATACTAAATTCTTTAGGAGTTCTTATATTGGCGCCTGCTTGAAACCACGAGCAGCATAATCTGCGGGTTGTGTCCGGTCAGACACTTTTGGAAAACCTTCGTCACCAGGATTGCAAACGGGTCGTGAAGTGATTACACGCCAGCCTCCTTTACGGGTCCAATCCTAAACGACAATTTTTTTTTTGTTTAGCATTAATTAAAGTTAAATTTAGTTAAGTACATCGAACCAAAAATAAAGTAACACGAGTACTAAAATATTGTCAATTTGTTTAGAAATTTTTAATCTACATATATATGCAAGTATTATGTGGTTCACAGAGTAGGAAACTTACGTTTTGATTATACTTGAAATAGTAGGCTACAGCGTAAATTGCTGCAACGGTCATAGCAAATTTTCCTGTCCAAAATCGGATAGTATATGAACGCTGAGGACCCTGCATAAACAAGTTCAATTTATATACATTATGTTTTAATTTTTACCATTACATAACAGTTTAAAACGGTTTAGCTAGTGTTTTATTAAGATTCAATAAACGATAAACCATACTTACAAGGACTGGAGTTAGTGTTTCTCCCAATTTGTCAAGTGGGAAGCGATAGAAACGCTTAATCGGATTCTGTAGTTCTCTCTCCAACTCGGGCACTGTGCGAGGACCGTGGTGTAGTTCCAAATCTTTCAGCCATTGCTTCCGCCATGCACGTTCTTCGTTCGACATGCCAATCAAACGCTCCCGTTCACGCACCATGCGGCCGGCGATGACCATGGGTTTTACTCCACCCGTTTCTGAAGCCATCTTTTTTTCCTAGAGTTATGCTATTGTTAATTAACTCATATTAGTAAAGTCATTTATACCTGTTCCACAGCCAACGAAACAGATAATTCACAGACTACGGTAGGGAAAAACGATACTAGGGATGTCGGTAAAACATCGATGCATCGAAAATATCATGTTTTGCTTCGATGCATAGAAAAATGTCCACTCGATGTATAAATAGTCGATGTATCGATCACAGCATCCCAGTAAAAAGGTTTTTGTTGTTGTAACTGTTTCGCGGTGATAGTCCTTTTTGGGCAAGATGCAATAATACAAGGTGGCAAGGTGTTCTCTCTTCTTATTATTCTTATTTTCAGTGCAGCCGATCTTAATTTTTATACTACTATTCGTTGGCAAATAGTATCTAAAATACTCCATTATAGTAATTCGTTTTATGACGATTTTTAAATAACTTGGTGTTTTCAGAACGATATTAATATCTAAAATTGCTGGATTTGTATAATTTTTGTCCTCAAAATGTAAAAAATAAAAGATGTCGTGGTTATCAATGGAAAAAGACGTACACAAAACTCGTATGAAAAGGCGATTTTTTTATATTAAATAACTTTTGCTGCATTGTCATAATATCGAGCCAAATGGACTACTGATACACTAGAACAGAGTGGCAGCATGGTTAAATTACGATTTCGCTTATATTATCGCTATTTATGTGTTTTAATCTATTTAAAAACTCTTTTACCGTCGTATAGGAAATTGCCTTATTTTACTGCCTTTACTTTTTTAAGTTACAATTTATGTATGTCCAAGCTGTGTGGAGCTGCCGATACAAACATATATTAAGGCTTATAAGCCTGTAATTATACCTTTTCTACATTTAATTTGAAATAGTATGCACCAACAGAATAAAACATACTAAATAATTACAACCTTTTCTACTACTTTAAAATGCGAGACCGGAATAGACCTACCGAAAAAGTGAGATTAAGTTACTGACAACACCTTGTTATTAGGATATTTCCCTAACAATCCGGACCGGATCCGGTAATTAAGTTAAGTAAGTTTGCTTTCAAAAATGGAACATAATCCAGAAGTACGGGAACGCAAAAAACCTCATTTCGTGCCCAGAATTTGAGAAACAGCTGCAAGCTCTTGGAAATTGAATTTTTGTTTCACAAATTTGATTTTAACAATATAAAGATAGAAAATACATTAACTATTCCTCAAAAGCCCCAAGTGAATGCAGGCAACATGTAAACACAAAACAGCTGATATGCACTTTGACACTTTATCAATTTTTACCCGGAGAAAAAGTCCTGGCTGTTTCGGGCAGGAAGAAGAAGACACTTACGATCCAATACGTTCCAATTTTCGCTCTCTATTACCCATTTTGATGAAAACGGGAATGATTTCTGGGCTGTTTTGGACACCCGCGGGATCCCACGTTGCGTACGGGAAAGAACCTAAAGCTGCCTTTACATGAGGCGATTTTTTGACAGGCGATAATCACCTGCAAAAGTTAACTTGCTGTCTACTTTGAGGCAAGCGATTTATGAATCACCATTTACACGAGCGATTTTTCCAGAGCAGTGTTGAATCCCTGGAAAATCGCCTCATGTAAAGGCAGCTTAATGGTAACAACTGATACCACCCACGATGGAGCGAACAAAGGTGGCCCCGTCAGTGGTACCGCCTCTTTGGTTTTGCCGATTTTGACAGTTGTGGTAATTTGTAAATAAACCTTTGTTTACAAATCAGCGAAAGAGAAATTTTAATTATAAGTGAAAAATCAGTTTAAATTGTGTTAATTTGCAATTTCTGAGGGATTTATGAGTTGAGGACTGCGTAAAAACTAATACAATGACGTGCTGTGTGTTAAATTGCGGCAGCCGTCAGAATGCAAGAAGCGTAGATGCAAGTGTAGCGCTGGGACGAATCGCTGCATTTTGGATTACGTTCCATGTTTGAGAGCAAACTTTTCGCTTATTCTGTAATTACCGGATCCGGTCCGGATTGTTAGGGAAAGAACCTATTGTGGACGAATACAAGTGAGGGTTGACAGATAGTTGACAGGGTATTCAATATGGCGATGACTGTGTGAACAATAGGTTCTTTCCCTATCAATCCGGACCGCATCCGGTAATTAGAGAATAAGCGAAAAGTTTGCTCTCAAAAATGGAACATTTTCCAGAAGTACGGGAACGCAAAAACCCGCATTTCGTGCCCAGAGTTCGAGAAACACCTTATGCACGTTGTTGTTTTTGTCACTTAAATGCAAACACTTGGAAATTGAATTTTGGTTTCACATATATAAGTATATAAAGATTGAAAATACATCAACAGGCCATTCACTATTCTTTAAAAGTACCAAGTAAATGCACGCGACATTTAAACACAAAACAGCTGATATGCACTTTGACACTTTATCCTTTTGTAGTCCGGGCTGTTTCGGACAGAAAGAAGACACTTACGATCCAATACGTTCCAATTTTCGCTCTCCATTACCCATTTTGTTGAGTACGGGCAAAGAACGTAGATAACAAGAAGAGACAACTCGTTATTATTGTAGCGAAACTGAGCAACGGGGGCGTGCCTTCTCTTTTGCTCTAGTACGTTTATTGATTTGTTGAGAAGAGAAGGCATGCCCCTGTTGCGAGTTGCCCTTCTTGTAATCTACGTTCTTTGGTACGGGAATGATTTATGGGCTGTTTTGGGCACCCGCGGGATCCCGCGTTGCGTACGGGAAAGAACCGAAAGGCCCGAAGTTGCAAAGGCTTTGTTTCTTTTCTTTTCTAGCAGATAATTATCAGGAATAAGAATGGGAGAATTACGCTCACAGAGAGCGAAATAAAGAAGTAGTAAGGAAGCGCAAAACTAGCAGAAACTAGCAAATCAACAGCTGATCGATGTATTCAGGAGAGCCAAAAAAATAGGAGCGTAAGAACGAGAGGGCCCTGCTAGTTTCTGCTAGTATTTTGGCATGGTACAATAATTACAGGTATTGTCTTCCCAGAGAGCGCATATTCCGATCTGCCTCATTTGAAAAATATCATTGTTGCCCACACTAAAAGGTTTACTGCATATATGTAATACTTCTATATTGCTAGTACATTCAAAGTACATTCCCCAACATCAGAGTGCCGAAATATTGAAAAAAGAAAGAGAGATCCGATAAGAGAATGTACTAAAAATGACAATTTTACTTTTGAAAATTCAGGAGCGGCTTCACAAATTCTTAGTTAAAAACAATTCATATGAAAAATTAACAAAAAATACAATTTTTGTAAATCTATGAGAAACCCTGCGGCCGTTGATGGTGGCAGAGGATAAAAAGACCGGTTGGAGAAGGACTTAGCATCAGTTGGCAATTCCAATTGGCGTCAATTAGCATAGAATGGAATCGAATAGCGTGCTCTATTGAATTCGGCCAACATATAAAATACTGCACTGCTTTATGTGTAAATAAGTTTTGTCTTGGTTAGGCATTGCATCTTGAAGTAAACATGAGACCCTCAAATTTGTGTTTGTTTTCTGAATTCCCTGAACCGCCCTTGTTATGATATAGCACTTCATTCTATGTAGTAGTTTACAAATATACACGTATACTTCTACAATCACAAAAATTTTCATAGGCTGTCTTTCTTTAATTTCGAATTGAAGACTCATTGTGGCCATATTGTACTAGCAATATAGAAGTATTACATGTATGGTTTACTGTAAGGGAAACGGGATATTTCTATTCACCATATACCATATATGTCCATGTATTTTACAACGCTTTTATCAACTTGCAATGTTGTATGTTCAGACCAGCATACTATAAATATACCAAAGGTATTTATGGCAAGCCTTGTCTAGATATCAACCTCGTCGTAGGTATCATATCAAAGACATACAATTAGAAAAACTCTAGAGATAGATGTCGCCTCGCCAGAAGAAGTTAAAAATAAATAAAATAAAATAAAACTTTAATATACAACGCTTTTATAAATGGTCTAAAAAGTAGAAAGTAATATTTCTCAGTCCCACAGAATTTGTTTTGATAACTTTTGATTTTGAAATTTTAGCAAAAGTCATTATAAACCATTAATGACATTTAAAACGAAAAACGTGGAGCGCATGCAGTACAAAGCATTCGATTTCATTGACAATAGTCAAACTACATAACATTCTACAGCGAAAGTACAAATTTGAGATCGATTTTAAGTGGTCGTTATTCATATGCCCACATACATACATATGTTACTTTTCATATCAATTCAAGTGTATTACAGGCGCCCCACGCTTTTCATTTTCAATGTCATTAATTGTTTATAATGACTTTTGCTAAAATTTCAAAATCAAAAGTTATCAAAACAAATTCTGTGGGACTGAGAAATATTATTTTCTACTTTTTAGTCCATTTTATTTATTTTTTATTTTTTTAAGCTTATACAACAGAGCCTATCATATCAACTAAGAAATCGCAGCGCTAGCTACATAGGCTATCGGCTGAGTTAGTCCATTTATAAAAGCGTTGTATATTAAAAAGTTTTTGTTTTATTTTATTTATTTTTAAACAAACCTTCTTGCAGAGAACTTTAATTTGCTAAAAATAAATATTTGCCTAGTAAACTAAACAAAAATTTTCATTGTTCAATTTATTTCAAACGTTTTTTTACTTCTTTTTTTTGAAAAATTATAAAAATTTAATTGAGCGGCAAACAAAAGCAAAGCCACCTAAAAGTAAAAGAATCAACATTGAAATGCGTCAAAATGAAAACAAGGGAGCACGAATTTCGATGTGAAGCAAAACTCTCTGGGAAGACAATGGCCCATAGTCATAGTCACAAGTTAAATCTCATTCTTTTTAAAATACAGTTTTAAGTTTAGAATAGATTTTTACGTTTTGTTAATCATAGACATCTTAAAAAACAGTTTTTTGTTAAGATGAGAGAGAACAGTGCTATCCATATGAAGAAAAAAATTTACCCGGCAATATATAGAAATATGAGTACTTTAATTAGTTCCCCCTGTGTCCGCGGCAGGAATGCGGATTTAGCAAGCCGAGAAGTCGTGGGTTCGAATCCCACTGCCAGGGAACATTTTTTTACATATTTTTTTTCTTTTAAGTATTATTTAAATTTTTGTTATTTAATTATAGTTGTTGTGGCCTTTTAAGTTAAAATTAAACTCATAAAAATT